CGAAGTGAGTGCCTTCATTTCTCTCGACCGAGTCATCGTTTGGCCATCTCTCCACATTTCCCATTCACACTCCAGGCGCGCAAACAACGCACGTCGCGGGAGCCGGTGGGCTGGCATGGGTAGTACGTGGCCAAGCCATCGGAGCCAGTTGCGTGAAATAACGGAGCCGAGCGGTTCGTCTCCTTTGCCATATCTGAGGCGTCGAACACGTTTGGCATAATAGTTGAAGTGGGCTTCTCATCTGCAGCTAACAGGTGAGGGTGCTGATGGTGCCATTGCAGTGATTTTACTTACAAAGAAAGTATAGCCGCACAAAATAAGTTAGCTTGGTTCCCGTTGTAGTCTGGCAGCGGTCGTTAACCGGCAGAAACATGACCTATGATTGGCGGAGGTGGAGCAAGTAGCAATGACGGTCAAATCGCAAAGTCAAGACAAGCATCGCACACACATGTGAGAGTAATGTCAAAAAGTTACACTAACATTGAGGATGTACCATGACATAAACCAATGGGGAAATAATGCAGTGACAAGGAAAACAAGAAGAGTCCGAATTCAATTAAGCAAACGGCCTCGCAATGGACGCATCCTTAATTTTTTGTCGACTAAAAAGCGAAACCAATAAAGCCAAATGAAGTTACGGTAGGTGTGAGAAAATAAAAGTTTAAATTTCGACCGCGTGGAAGTAATAAATATCATACTGGCTAGAACAGTGTGTAAGGAGTGAGAAGTGTCGTTTAGAATCTAGCATGTGAAATTAAAGCATGCATCAAAATGTTTGCTAACAATAAAATCAACCAGAGTTCTTTGCCTAATATAGAGCATCAGGATAAATTTGAGCGCATAAGATGTTATTTCTTTGGAAAAAGTCTGGGGAATAATACATGCAATCACAAAATTTTGAATTAGAGTACACTGCATGGAGATCATTCTGAACCTGAGGGAGTAAAAGAAGTCTTTTGACTTTTTGAAAATTTTTAAGAATAGGTGACGACCAGGATAAATTGTAAATCAAGGATTCCGAGATATTTTACGCCGGATAAATGAGGGATACTTTGGTCACTCACGACCAAAGGAGACGTATTTAAAAGAGAGCATTGGATAATACAACACTACTAATGACTAAAACGGAGAGACTGAGAACTTGATCAAGTATTCGTCTAATCCTTGTTGAAGTTTTTAAGATTCTTCATTCACTGGGGTTATGCACCTTGGGACGATGACATCGGAGTATTTACATCCGATAAAACTGGCTGGTACAGGCAGACACTCAACATAGAGGGATAACAGCAAGAATAGAAAATAGCTCCATGCATAATCCTACGATTGTCTAAGTGCGGAAGACCTGCTGCGCAACTGCGTGAAGGATGCGCGATTTTTGAAAAAGTCCCGCATCGCACTACATGCACATAGAGAAAAAGGTATCAGCAGTACGCCGGTACGCAGTGTCGAAACTTCGCAGCCGCGCAACCACTTGACATTACTCGAATACTTCGAAACCAGAATCCGAGTCAGAAGCACCAAACAGTTTCTGGTACTGGTCGTCTATCATTGGGATGTCGGAGTGAATATCGTCATCCCCGCCTTCACCGCTCTCGACATTGTCGTATTCCACAAAAATGGTGTCCTCACTTCCATCCATTCCATTACTGATGCAGCATTTTTTGAATGGTCGTACGGTAAGTTCTGATGGAATATCCAGCCAAGCTTCTCTCACCCACTCTGCAATTGTAACAATGGCAACCTTTTTCACACCGCCACCCTTCGTCAACGCTAAATCAGACGATACCATCCATTCTGTCCACGTGGCCCGAAGCCTATCTGTAGAGGGATTATTAAGACAGACATGCAGTGGCTACAAGTCCACCGGGAATTAAAGCCACAGACGACTTCAGTTCACGGCATCGCTTCTCCACGTTCTCAGTTCGGTGTGCTCTAAAGGAACCCCAACCAGCATAGATGGTTTCTTTAAAAGGACACCGCATCGCTTTCCCCAACCTGCATTATACCAGTCTATAGTGCCACTCTCGTCCATGCATTCTTTCGCGCGAGCCCGCACAAACACACCGCTCGGGAAGTCCGCTCCTCTAGGCAGTGTCTTACGTTTAAAAATAATGAAAGGTGATAAACGGGAACCATCCGCCATACACACTAAAACTACTGTGAACCGCGTCTTCTCGTGTTTCGGTGTATTTACAAAAACTGTGTTGGCACCATACTGCTTCACTGTGCGATTTGAAAGCATATAAAAGCACACGGGCGTCTCGTCCATATTTCTTATTTGAGACGGTTTAAAGTGGTATTGCTTTCTTAGATGAATCACAAACCTGTGAAAAGAGTCAACTTTAGTGTCTAATTCCTTCGTCATTTGCTGGGCTAGCTTTGTGCGTGTCCGTAGGCATGTCGAATGGGTTCGTAAAACGATTGCACCGTCCGGAGGAAGCAACAAAATTCACTGGTTTTGATGGCTGGAATTCCGGACCTTATAACAATGTGAGCGTCCTTATCCGAATGTTCGTTCGGGTTAAAATTAACCCGCAGTGCCGTTACTCCATAAGCCGCTCTGCTAACTTTACCGCCAGTGCAGGAAACATGGTTGTTCTACCGCGCGCTGCTCTCTTGCCTACAGGCATTAGTGACAATTCTGACTTAACCTTTCGCCATTCTCTCACTCGCTTTTTATTCACTGTGAAATGGCATGCAGCTGTACAAGTACTAGATTGCTCAGAAAACGCGATAACCAAGTTAAAGTAAGCAGCATATGCACATCGCTCCTGTCCAGACAATGTTTCACGTTCTCACGGCTTTGGAAGATCGGACGAAATGTGGGTCGCACATCACCATCAGACTCAAACACCAGGGCGATAGTCATAGCTCATCTGACATGATCAAGATACCAACCCCCGCAACGTAAGTCACGGATGACAGCATGTGCTTAGCATCAACATTCATTCCCCCTTTTACTGAATAAGCAAAGAAACAATGACGGTAGTGGTATTTCATTGACGCTCAGACCCGAAAGACCTCGCTCCCACTTATTCTATACCGGTCATGTCTCCTTAGGAATTCGGACTACAGTCAAGCTCAACCGGGCATCCTTTCCCCGCTAATTCTTCCAACCCCGTTCCTTTGGCTGTGGTTTCGCTAGACAGTAGATAAGGACAGCGGGAATCTCACTAATCCACTCATGCGCGTCACTAACTAGATGACGAGACATTTGGCTACCTTTAAATTTTGATTCAGTTTTCAGACGGCCGGACACACCGGCTTGCGCCGAGGTGCCCGCGGTCACCATTATCTGAGCAGACAAACGTCATCCAATCCATTGCATGAAAACGGTTGACCACAAGACCAGCTGGTCCCACCCCAGTACTCATATCTTTCGGGCTTCTTCACACTGACGCCACAGACACCGGAGGAGAAACAGCCTCGTGGCCTGGCTACTACTAACCGTCCCAGCAGCCCGACTTCTACACCCAAGGCAAGACTTTGTATCCCACACCACAAGCTCCATTGTGCAGTGCCGTAGAGTAGGTTGAAAATGCTTGTTCCCATCTACTAGATGGCATACTGCATGCCATACTGCAGGCTTTGTTGGTTTTAGTCTTGTGAGTTGCCGGTCAACATTGTGGTAAGCTAATGTGGGAGAATAAGTAGTGGGGAAGGAAGGTAGGGAGAATGCATTCGATGATGTGCTAAATTCTGCGTTAAGCTTGTCCGCATCCACAGTACCGGGTAAGAAAATGGAATTTTGCCGGAGGTTGCTTCAAGAGTTTCCAAAATTCACGGAAACTGTGATTTCCTAAAACGGCTTCAATGTACTGACTGTTTACTACTTAGTCCGGCTGCGCGATTGGTCTATCAAGCGACAAATTCTTATCAATCGTAACAGTGTTCTCCATATCGACGCTCAAGAATCTTTCGGCGCCTATCACATTGGTGGTATCCTGCTGTAGTATGCGGCTAGCGAGATGTATCTTCGTGTAATTGTATACCCAAACCCGGAAAACCCAGGGCACGTTGCGGAAGGACGTCTCGCCCAATAGTATGCTCAGTGCCATACAATCCTTTACTAAAATGACGCCTAATTACTTCAAGCTATGTTTTCCTCTAAAGTTCGGTCAATAATGGAATATGGATTGCCTGCTATACACCCTTTCACTAAGTTTGCATGTGCTTTGATCGTGAAGGTTCAGGGGTGAGGATCCAAGTCTGTGTCGATGTCGAGTGTTTCAGCTCAACCCTTTCGACTTATATTCTAGACTAACGTCGTCGCTGTGGGGTTTTGATGAATTTAAGGAAAGAATTGAAGAGAGGTGAAACAGCTCAACGTAGATAGCTCAACACGGGGTCACAGTTGCAAACTACTTAAACAACAGAGACTCCGCGTTCACTCCGATGTCAGGTTATCCAGCCGAGTCGTGAATGAATGGAACAATCTCCACAAATGCGGTTAGTGCCAAGAAAGATGAATGTTTCAAGCAGCCACATGCTAAGCACGCCTGGATTCCGTTGTTTTCGTCGCAGCTGTAACGATATCTTGTGGAACAATTTTAGCAACAACATGCATCATCTTGCCAGGAAAGGAAAGGTGGTGGATGTCACGGATTTACCCTTCTGATATCCAGAGTTCTACGAATTACGAAGATGTAGATTCGACACGGATAGTCAGCCTATATTCATGCCAGTTTTTTTACTAGAAAGTTGATTGAGTAGTGGAGATTAACAGCTATCAATCCAATAATAGACGGTCTCGATGGAGGTATAAAGACCGCAAAATTACGTATAATCGACCGTGTTCCGATTGCTTCAGAAGTCGTTGGTAATTGTGATCCTATGCCACCAAAATGATCACTTGGCAATCCCGGATTGTTGATCGTCAGAACTTCGTTCGATGTGCGGTAAATCGTTAGTCTGATCAGGCGACACGACGCATGGCTTAAAGTCAGTTAAATTGAGGAACATGTTCAACATATCAGGTTAACAAGACTTAAGCTACTCACTGACTTTCCAACGTAGTTTCGCAACAGCTCCCGCGATTCAAACATGTAAGGAACGTCATACAAAGGTCGAATACGAGGGCGGACTGTTGATGGGTTATCTTCGTCGTCTCTGTTGGAGACAATGGGTCGCGGTGCTCGGATGCTGGATAAGAAGAATTTCCGCACGACTCCGTCGAGGCATTTGACCGAAACGTTGTCCCCATTGCCTACTTCGACAACCTGATATGGAGGGAAAGTGGGGAACCGTGCAAAGCGCGTATGCAGCAGTGTTGAGGCGTTAACAAACAAGACGACCGTAACGCGATAAATACCAATGACAAAAAAGGATAAATGAGGATCGAAAAAATTATTACTCACAGTTCCGTGAAACACCGTCCCGGGAAGTGTCTTATTAGGATCTTGATTTTTCAGAGACTCAGACGATGTCAAAGGTTGATAATCTTTCCACAAGCGAAGACGCTTTTCTTTGGCGGAACGTTCACTAATACGATAGGCTTCGCTGGCGCCAGGAATACTCACCACACTCAGATTCCACTCTAAGCATTTAGCAAGTCCTTCTCGAAGGAGTACTTCAGCGATGTTTCCATTGGGATGGATAACACTGCCAATAAACGTTTGGTTCCAGGTACCCTCCAACAACACGAAGACATCTCGCTGTAGCAGACGGGACTCAACGAAAAACTGCGCATCCAAGGCAAATGGTTCACAAACCTAACAGTAAAGAATTAAGTGTGCAGGTCACCTGTTTGCCATCTTCAAATCGGATGGTGGGAGCCTTTATACCGGATAATGATAGGGTCAAGTTGTGATATAGGTTGCTAACAGGATCAACAGGCAGGAGAGTAAGGAACATTGTGCTACCATCCTTCACGTATTCCACTACGGCCGGGATTCGCTGACCTTTGAGTTGCTCAACAAAAGATCTGGGATCATCGATTGCCCAAACTATGTTTCTGATGGCGCCTGTTTGGACAGAAGACCAGCGCCCTTTCCCGGATGATCTCGCAGACTCTTCAGCGGCCAATAACAACTGATAAAGTGGGTTTTTCTCCGCGGCAATGTTGTTCAGTCGACGGACTTCGGCGAGGCCTTCATCCACAAGTGAGAGCGCCACGTTTTCTCCGTCAACAGTTCGCCCTAAAAGAGTCAAATAAGAACGCCAAACATACCTAGATAAACACATCCATATTTTCTACCGGATGCAAGCTCATTTTCAACGAGGTAGCACACTTCTTTCCCAACGAGCTTCGTGCGAACAAATTCGCGGGCCTGCCAGGCAAATGGATCTTCTGTACCGCTGTCCGGGTTGACTGGCGTCGGCTTGCGAGCCAAACGACCACAGGTGATATGGGATAATACAATCGTTCGTTCTGGAGGAGGTCCATCTACCGGACGATCCCGGATCACGATAGACTCGCCAGATAGGACCTAGAAAAGAATGCAATGAGCCGCAAACTACACAGTGGTAAATATATGTACAATAAGAATATCAACTGGGTATGTTACCTGTTTAACGATACCATAAAGAACGACAGGAGTTGTCATTGCAAAACACGTGGCACAGAGGACTACTGAAATGGTCCAAGGTTAAAACGACGTACGCGGCAACTTTAAAATGCGTTCAAGGCGCTGCGAAGAAATTAGGCAAAAGTGTTAATAAAACGTACTAAAACTTCTATTTATTAGGAAGAAGGTTTTCCATAAGGTGGTATGGTCAATGATCACAGCACCAAAAATATTGGTGCGAAAAAGTGAGAAAAGTGCAATGTCAGAATCAGAATCAGAATCATTTTATTAGGAGAATAAGATAGGAATCTATGTGATCACCATCATAAGTAAAGCAAAAATGACCCATGCCGAATATGGGTCTGTGTGAATGCACATCAATAGTCATTTAGTAATAAGCAAACAAAATACCGGTATATAAGCACAAAGAAAGCACTATGTGTCTTGGTCTTTTAGGGTTGCCAGTGTAGCCGTGACATAACCACGCGACGAAAGGAGGTCAAACATGGCGTCTGCATCGAAACACAAGTCTGAAAAATGTTTGTCAATGCTTCGTTTGAAACACTGCACTGAAGCAGAAAGAACAACGGAACTGGGCAACCAGTTCCAGAAATGTATCACACGTCGCGCGAAACAGTGAATATGAGTGACATTGTCCATACGTGGAACTTCCAGCTTGTAAGAATGCCCTCGGGTAGTAAGTGCATCCACAACACAGAACATATGTCTCAGGTGAGGAAAATGTCTCAAGTGAAGGATTCTAAACGTTGTAATGAGGTCAATTCGTAATCTCCTGTATACTAGTGTATGGAGACGTAACTTGTGGCACCTCTGATGGTAAGATAAGCCTCGGAGCGTGGAGATCAGGCGGGTGACTAGGTGCTAGACTTTTTCCAGTTTTCTCATCTCACCTTTTTTACTTGGATAATAGGCCGGTGCCCCGTACTCTAGAAGTGGGCGCACCATGGAGACGTATAGCCTGACAGCAATTTCCTCCGACCAAACGTGGAACGTCCGCTTTAATGACCAAAACATGCGAAGGCTGGAACAGTAGACCTTGTGCGTATTGTCTGACGATTTTAAGTCCCATCTGGATAGTGCTCCTAGATCTCTAACCGTCGCAGCCGAGCACAGTAGACGTCCACCGACACTGTAAGTTCTGTCCCGACAGCACTTGCCAATGCGGAGCAATTCGGACTTTTCAGCACTCAGTGGAAGGCAATTTGTTGATGCCCATGAGGAGATTGTTTCGAGATCACTTTGCAGTATATCTTCATCGACAGGGGTCGATATTTCCCTCCAAACTTTCAAATCATCTGCGAACAGCGCGCAAGTAGATGTCAAACGTCCTGGTAAGTCGTTGATATGAAACAGAAAAAGCGTTGGGCCAAGTACTGTGCCCTGTGGCACACCACTAGAGGCAGTACACCATTTCGTTCGGTAGTCATTGACCTGGACGCACCACTGCCGCTTGTCCAGAAAAGACTGAATCCATTTCAGCAATTTTCCACCCACGCCATAACTGTTGAGTTTAGATAGCAAGATAAAGTGATTCACTCTATCAAATGCTTTGCTAAAGTCAATCAGCAAGGCATCAACGCTCCTACCCTCATTAACTGCTTCAATCCAACTGTGTCGGGAAATCAGAAGATTCGCGGTACAAGACCGTCCTCTTAGGAAACCATGTTGAACTGGTGTAAGCACACCGTGTGATTCTGCGAACTTAAGCAGCGCCTTCTTGACCACTTTCTCCAGCAATTTGGCCAGCACTGGTGTCAGGCAAATCGGTCTATAATTCTCTACTCTGCTTCTGTTTCCTCCTTTCGGGAAGGGCCGTACGATCGCTTGCTTCCATTCACGTGGGACGTTCCCTTGTGTCAAAGAGGCCTCGAACAATTCCGTCACTGCAGGTGCGATAACAGGTGCCAGCCTTTTGAGAAGTAGTGGATGCAAGCCATCAGGTCCTGGCGGTTTGGAGCAGTCTAGGTTAGCAAGCAATCCCCTTACTTGGTCCTCTGAACAGGATACTGTATCCCGTTTGGCGTCGACTTGGGTACACTGAAATGCTGGAGAAGCTGAGTCGAACACTGCCTCGAAATGTGAAGCAACTGCGATAGCTCGGTCCTAGTCGGCGGTCAACAGTGCACCAAGCGAATTTTCCAAAGCAGGCAACTCATCAGTTGGCTTAAGCTTGCGCTTGATGTATGCAAAAACCTTTTTGGGTGCCTCCTTCGCATCTGCTGATAAGCGTGTTTCATAAGCCGCACGCTTCTGTAGTTTCACTGAATTGCAACAGTTTCTTTGTGATTTGTAAGCTGTGTAATCTTCAGCGCTATGAGTTTGTTTGAACCTCTTCCACAATTTGGCACGTCGCCTCGACAAGACAACATATTCGCTATCCATCCATGGCGGCCTCTTCCAACATTTTATTGGAGTTAAAGGAGCAAACTGGTCTAGCAACTGAACAAGGTTTTGCTTCAGCACCTCCTAACACACTTCAACGCCGTCATTCAAAGGTAATGACCAGTCCATGTGTTCCGCAGTACTCATCAACCGATCCCAGTTTGCTTTCCAAATGTTACGACGGGGTATTCGTAATGATACAACAGATGGCAAACGTAGGACGACTGAAATTGTGGAGTGATCGCTGGACCCAATGGGTTTAAATACTTTAGCGGATTCGACATGTTGCTCATCGTTCATGAAAAGGAGGTCAAGACAGCTTTCAGGTTGCCCCGGAAGCTGCCTTGTTGGTTGCAGGATAGGTTGCACAGCGTGCATCTCCGCCATTTTATCGACAAAAGCGCATTCGAGATTGCTACTGCCAGGTAGAGCTTTATAATGCGGTCAATCAACGTGTGGAAAGTTAAAATCACCAAGCAACAGAAAATTTCTGCAGTTCAAGCGCTGCTGCACTACGTCGATCCAATCACGGGAAGTGTTTGAAGGACTCCGATAAATGGCTCCCACTCTCAGTTCATTCGGCCCAACAGTAGCTCTGCACCAAAGTTGTTCGCATAGGCCGTCGGCACTATAATGTGTATATATGAGTCCGCCTCTCATGCTGGACTTTATATATAACAATACACCGCCATGAGCGCCCTTGGGTCGTTCGCACCGAAATGTCGTGTATCCATCGATGTGAATTTCAGGATCAGTAATATCACCGTGGAGCCATGTTTCAGTCAGGCAAAATAAATCTGGGCAATGTTGTTCTACCAAGAGATGTACCTCATCAAATTTATTGGTGAGGCTGCGAACGTTCGTAAGCGCCACAGTGAGACCGGCAACTAGCTTGGGGCGCGCGCCATTAGCAACACCGGCTTGTTTATCAGCTGGCGCTTCTGCACTACTCGAAAACTTACGATATGTATGTTGCTCTCACCTTGTTGACTTCGCCGTTCAAGTTCAATATTAGCAGTTTGAAGGCGATTTCGTTCTTCCAAAGTGAGGTCGGCACGCACGTGGATTTTCAGGCCGTTTAGACGCCAAAGTCGGGACAGAAGACGCACTGGGGTGACATCATTTTCAAAAACAATTCGCAACGGACGAGGCGTGTTTGCCGTTCGTTTTCCCACGCGTAATACTCGTTTTATATGAATACCTAGCTCATCGGGGTCCAGGAGTTTATCAACCAAATTTTGTAAGAACGCGACATCATGCTCATAACGAATTCGCGGGTCGGAACTCTCTGACTCCGGGGCATGAAAGATCATCAGACAGTGGTTACGAGGATGGATCAGACCAGTTTCGGACAATACGGACGGCCGCGTAACGGCGCTGGGAGTCAAAACTGGAGGTCTCTTTCCCGCAACAATCCAAGGTGACTCGTTTCTGGTTCCATGCTCGGCGACTGTAGTAGGAGGTGGCTCATCAGAGATCCGTAGTGCTTGCTCCGGTTTACCAGTTGATAAAATCCCGCTGCATGGAGGAACTGTGGGCAACGTACTCAGGTTGTCGGGGGGACAGGTGCGACACAGGTTTTCTACTTGGTTGGTCGTATTCTTTGGATGGTCGCCGAGGGATATCGCGCTGCACTTCCTGGCTCTTCTAGCAGTAGGAACGGATGAGCATCTCTCAAGATTCTGAAGCGGCGATCGTCTTGCTAGTGCAGCTGCATCAATGCAATACCGACAGACCCATAACAGGCCTTTGTGTTCAGCGTAGATCTTAAAAAGCGAATCCGTAAGTTGCGAACAACGCTTGTGACCACAGGCCCAGGATTTACAAGCGATACACTGAATGCCCTGAGTGACCAGTTTTGAGCAGTGTAAGCAGAGTGAGTTGGGCGTGACGAAATCCGAAGCAATAGCTAACCTTGAATCAATGGCTGTAGAAACAACGGAAGTCAGCATGTACTACCCAGATATACGATCCCTCACGATAAATTGAAAGCAAATGTTCACGACCCGAGAACTAAGAAAGGACGACGCTATCCGCAGTTCGCGACCATAATGTGTAAACTTGATGCAAAAGAAAAGCCAATTTTCTGCTGACTACCTACCTTAAGATTTAACTAAACAAATAAATTTGAAACCAGCTATTGTTTCAAACTATTTCCATGTATTTGTTTAAACCCACTAAGACGTTCAAAGCTGGCTTTACGATTCATCCATGTCCATTTTTGGAAGTCATGCAGTTGGACCTTACTACTGTAAGATTCTTAATTACTGCCACTGTGCTGTATTACCCTATACTAGCTGAATGACTTGCATGCACAATTTGTTATACTTTCTAGACGACGATAACATGCCTGTCCATTTCTATTGCCTTCGAAGCAAACTGCACAGCATTAAATTTACGGTTGAGCGATGAAATATTGCGCCTCCATAAACTGCAGCAGACTTTTGTTGGCAAACGGCGGAGCACATCTTTTCCGGTCTTTGAAGGTTGAAGACAATTGATAGTTTGTACTTTCTATGCAGGCTGTTCAGCTGGCTCGAGAACACCCTAAGTTAGAGGCGCTTGCGACTTTTCCAGACGTCGCTGTATCACTGTTTGCAAAATTCAGCGCATACCGCAGCTACTAGTTTAACAGTATGGTTGACAACGCAACAAACAACGTCCACAACTTGTTTAGCACCACGCGGATTGCGCAAATGGAAGACCAGGAAAACTTATGCTTTCACTCGGTTGTGGAGAGCAGAAAGGTAATCCTGTGTCAGCTCCATCACCGCCCGCTTACTGCATGGATCACGTGTGGTGATGCGGCACAATATTCTACAACGGAACAAAGCGGTCGCAGACAGCACAGCAAC